GGCTGAGGTGAGTGGACTGCGTGAGCCCGTGGATTCGAGACCCGCCTGGGCAATTTGGCAAGACCTCATCTCTACAATAAATCAAAAAATTAGCCGGGCGTGGTAGCGCGCGCCTGTAGTTCCAGCTACTTAGAAGGCTGAGGCTGAAGGATAGCCAGAGCCCAGCAGGTCGAGGCTGCGGTGGCCGGGAGCGGCCACTGCACTCCAGTCTGGGCGACAGAGTGAGACTCCAACTCCAACTCCAAAAAAAAAAAAAAGATTCCCAGGACAAGAAACAGAGCTGTCCGGGCCGGCCCGTCCTCTGTGTCAGGTTTTCTGGGACCCCCCACCACCAGAAGGAAGGCAATGGCCTCTTGGTTAGGTGGGTGGACACTAGCGCCAGGATCCACCCGTGCCGGCTGCGTGGCACCAAAGTATATTCTCTGAGCCTCAATGTCCCCGTCTGTAAAGTGGGTGAGGGCAGGAGTCCACACATGCCTGGCTGCAGAGGGGATTCACTGAGATGCTGCGTGTGGACCACTGGGCTTCCAGTGTCGCCTCAATCAGACGGGTTGCCGGTGCTGCCAATCTGGCCTGTCCCTTGGTTACTGCTTCCCCTGAGGTCAGCAGTGCTCACCAGCCCAGGCTGAAGCAAAGGGACCCATGCTCTGGCGGTCATCCTTTGGCTGCATGGATCCAATTCAACAATCTTTACCGCAGGCCTGCCGGGGCATGCACTGAGCTGTCCATGTTTACCGCAGGACGTCACGCGGGCCACCTTCAGCCCAGCCACGTGACACAGCATAGCAAGGCTGAGCCTTGAACGCACGGGTGTGAGCTGAGCGGGTCCACAGACAGGGGGATTTTTCTGCCCCCCGGCCTGAGAGAGAGAGATCAGTCCTTGTTCTTCCTTGTCCTCCGCGGCTTCTCAACGTGAAGACCTCTGGGGTGACCGGTTTCCACCTAACGAACAGCAAGTCCATATTCTCTTTCTTGATTTTCTTAATAAAATTTTCTTTTCTCTAGCTTGCTTTATCTATATTTTTTTATTTTTTAGAGGCAGGGTTTTGCTGTCTCCCAGGCCGAAGTGCGGTAGTGCAATCATAGCTCACTGCAGCCTTAAACTCCTGGGTTCAAGCGACCCTCCTGCATCAGCATCCTGAGTAGCCGGGACTACAGGTGCGCACCACCACACCTGGATAATTTTTAAATTTAATTTTATGTTTTTGTAGAGACGGAGTCTACTACGTTGCCCAGGTTGGTCTTGAACTCAAGCAATCCTCCTAATTCAGCCTCCCGAATAGCTGAAACTACAGGTGTGTGCCACCACATCCGGCTAATTTTTTTATTTTTATTTTATGTTTTGTAGAGATGAGCTCACTGTGTTGCCCAGACTGGTCCTAAACTCCTGGGTTCAGTGATCCTCCCACTTCAGCCTCTCAAATAGCTGGAACTACAGGTGCATGCCACCACACCCAGCTAATTGTTTAATTTAAATTTTATTTTTTGTAGACACGGATCTCACTATGTTGCCCAGGCTGGTCTTGAGGTCTTGTGCTCAAGCAATCCTTCTGTCTCAGTCTCTAGTAGCTGAAACTATAGATGCATACTACCACACCTGGCTAATTTTTTACATTTTTTTTTGTAGAGACAGAGTCTTTTTTTTTTTTTTGAGTTGGAGTCTCACTCCGTCGCCCAGACTGGAGTGCAGTGGCCGCTCCCGGCCACCGCAGCCTCGACCTGCTGGGCTCCGGCGATCCTTCCTCCTCAGCCTTCCGAGTAGCCAGAATTACAGGCACGCGCTACCACGCCCGGCTAATTTTTTGATTTTATTGTAGAGATGAGGTCTCGCCTGCCCAGGCGGGTCTCGAACCCGCGAGCTCAGGCAATCCACTCACCTCAGCCTCCCAAAGGTGCGGGATTACAGGCTGAGCCACCAAGCCCAGCTGAGACAGTCTTACTATGTTGAACAGGCTGGTCGTGAACTCTTGGCTTTTAGCAATCCTCCCACCTTGGCCCCCAAAGTATTGGGATTGCGGCCATGAGCCAATGGGACTGGCTCTCTAGCTTACTTTATTGTAAGAATACAGTATATAATATACATGGCATACAGAATACGCGTCCATCAATTGTTTATGTGATTGGTTTTGGGGAGTCCAAAGTTATAGTTGAATTTTTTTTTTTGAGTCAGGGTCTCGCTTTGTCTCTCAGACTGGAGTGCAATGGCACACGCACAGCTCACCACAATCTCGACCTTCTGGGCTCAGGTGATCCTTCCACTTCAGCCACCACGCTCAGCAAATTGTGGAGATAAGATCCTGAACTCCTGGGCTCAAGCAACCCTGTCACCTTGACCTCCCTAAGTGTTGGGATTACAGGTGTGATAGGCACCTGGCTTATACTTTGATTTTCAACTGCATGAGGCGTCGGCACTCCAACCCTGGCATTGTTCAAGGCTCAGCCGTATATAAGACAGAAAGCAGGGTCTGTGGGGGTCGCAGGGGCCGTGTGGACTCGGGGCCAGCATGCCTGGCTTGTCTCCACTCCGTGTCCTGCACCCACCCACAGAGCGGCGCTCGATCCCACGGAGACGGCCTCCAGCTCCCGGAAGCACAGTTTAGAGCCAGTGACCGGCCCCGGCCCACCCACTGCACGGATGGAGACCTGGGCCCAGGATGGAAGCAACTTGCTCAGTGTCCGTGGGAAACGGACCAGCCACACCAGCGTAGTAGCACTGACCGCTGTACTATCTACCTCTGATCACAGTGTTGCAACACAAAACATTTCTCTCATCTCGGAAGACTTCAAAGAAAACAATGCTTTATCCCATTTGACCTTTTTTTTTGAGTTGGAATCTCACTTGTTCGCCCAGGCTAGAGTGCACACTCACGGCCACGCCGGCATCGGCCTGCTTGGGCCCCAGAGATCCTTCTGGCGATCCTTCCGGGGATCCTTCTGCCTCAGCCTTCCAAGTAGCTGGAACTACGGGCATGCGCTACCACGCCCTGCTAATTGTTTGGTTTATGGTAGAGGCGAGGTCTCGCCAAGTTGTCTGGGCTGCTCTTGAACCCACAGGCTCAGGCAATCCTCTCGCCTCAGTCTCCCAAAGTGCAGGGATGACAGGCTAGCGCCACCGTGCCAGGCCCATCTCATTTGATCTTGACAGTCTCCTGGGAAAGAAAGGCTGAGTTTTCCCATTTCACAGATGAGAAAACTGAAGTCCAGAAAGACCCAGGCCAGCTCACTGGCCGGTGAGGGAGCCAGCCTCGGAGTGGGTTCTCAGTCTAGATCAGAACTTTTCCGCCTCTGCTTCTCGAAGAAAAGGATACGCTGAGCCAAGGACAGTTAAGTCAGGACTCCAAGGCATAGTTCATCTCTCCAGCCCTCCCCTGGCTTGGCAGGCAGGCCAGAATCCACCTGTCCCTTCCACGTCACTTGGCCAGGAAGCTCAAGGTCTCACGAGGTCCGTGGAGCACGCCCATCCAGGCCCAGCCCGTGCCTCCCGTCGGCCTCCCCGACCCAGGCAGAGCCTACCTCTGAGAAGGGGAATTCGGCACAACCTCTTGCACGTAAATGCCGCTGCTGACCGCCGGGAAGTCTGGGTTGCTGGCCTTCAACTCATCCACCAGGCTGGAAAGACAGTTCAGCCGTCAAGGCCCTCCTTGGGAGCCTCCGCCTGGCTCCTCGGCCGGAAGCTGCCCCCCCACCTCCAACGCCGGGCCGGGCCGGGAACCCCTCTGGGCTCCAACCCTGCCCTGTCCTGACGCTGGCTACTCTGTGTCCCACCAGAGAAAGATCGTGACAATAGCAGGTTCCAAGTGTGAAGAGGGGAGAGACGGTGGGTGTGTAGGTGGCGAGGGGAGTGGGTGACGGAAGGAAGGGTGGATCAGTGGACAGATGGAAGGACAGACAGACAAGGGTGCATCATGGAATGGACAGATGGAACACTGGACACATGGTGGGAAAGCACAGAAAGAAAGAATGCAATGAAGAGATGAATTGGTGTATCGGTCTTGACTGGAAGTTGCTATCAACTGTAATTCCTGGATTAGCAGTTGCTGATGCAGGAAGAACGACCCTTTTAGGGACTATAGGGGTCTGCGGTGTGGTCAGCTGGACGTTCCCTATTTCTTCCCAAGCTCCCAATGCAGGGGCTTCTTCCATCTTCAAACCTGGAACTTGGCCTTGTGTTTTCCTGACTCCGTCTGTCTCCTTCCCCTCCCTTCCCCCACCCCGTCTTTCTCACGCTGATTCAGCACGTCCAGGTACCTGCTCTGCTGTGGACCTGGAATTAGGGGCAGAGCAGAGGGAAATCGTGGTCAAGTATGCAGGGCTGGGCGGGGCGGTCCCACAACAGGCAGCTGCGAGGCAGCGGGACCAGGGCAGTGCTGGGAGGGAGGCCAGGGCTCTACATGCCAAGAGGAGGCACCTTGGCCCACTTGTGTGGCCCGGGAGGCAGGTAGCGTCCCTCCAAATTCAAGTACACCCACAGCCTCAGAATGGGACCTGGAGATGGGATCTTTGCAGATGTCATTAGTCGAAGATCTCGAGATGAGATCCTCTTGATTTAGGCCCTAAGTCCCACAACTGGTACTTTTATAAGAGAAACAGGAGAGAGATTTGGTCCAGACACCCAGAGACGGGAGTGACGCAGCTACAAGCCAAGGAGCACCTGGAACCACCAGGAGCTGGAAAGAGCAGACACCTTGACTTCGGCTGACACCTTGACTTCTGACCTCTGGCCTCCAGAACGGTACGAGAGTGCATTTCCGTTGTCTTAAGTCACTCTGTTTGTGGTCATTGGTTACAGCAGCCATGGGAAACTAATCCAGGAGGCTTCCTGGAGGAGAGGGCATCCGAATGGAGTCCCAAAAGAGCAGATGGACTCTTTTGGACAAAGGAGCAAAGGCATCCAAGCAGAGGGACTGGCCTGAGCAAAGGTCAGAACCAGAGCACATCTGGCCCATCAGAGGACCTGCAGAGGGGCCCGGGTCTGGTCGGAGGGCCACGGTGAGGGTCGGGAGAAGGGGACGGCACCCTTCAGACTCACCTTGGCGTGATGGTTCGCATCCGTATGCCGATGAAGCGCTTCTTCCAGTCTGGAAAGAAAACATGGTGGGACGCGGTTAGAGCCTCTGTGAAAAGCCACAGCCCTCCCTAAAAGGACGGGCCGGGGACAGAAATGTCCCTGCAGGACTAGCAAGCAGCAGGTGCCATCCCCGCCCCCATATGGTCAGGCGCCTAGAGGTGCCCTCTCCTCCAGACAGCTCCCCTGGGGGTGGGAGGTGCTCCTGCCCTAGAGTGGCTCTCCCTGCAGGTGGTTTCCTGCCCACCCCATCCTGCATTCAGCACAAAAAGGGTTAGGGTCAAGTGTCTGCTCTGACACCTGAGCTCCTGGTTGGGCACCACACCCAATGCCAATGGCTGGTGGGATCCTCCTCTCCAGCTTCCATATCGCTTGCTCCCCAAAGTTTCCTTGCTTGGATCTGAACTCATCACCCCCCTCATGCCTTCCCTATAAATGATGATTTCAACTGCAAATGTCCACCGAGCATGAACCACATGCCAGACCCCGAGGTTGGAGCACTATACACACCACTCTCTGAGGTGGTTCCTCTATCCCCCGGCTGTCCTAGTTTGTGTCTTAGACCCAAACATGACATGGATAATGCTGAACCACAAAATAAGACTCAACAGCCAAGCATAATGGCTCATGCCTATAATCCCAGGACTTTGGGAGGCAGAGGCAAGAAGACTGACTCAGCCCAGGAGTTCAAGACCAGCTTAGGCAACTTGGTGAGAAATTGCCTCTACAATAAAACAAAAAAATAAGCAGAGTGTGGTGGTGGGTGCCTATAGTAATGCCGGGGTGACAGAGTGAGACTCTGACTTTAAATAAATAAATAAAAGGCTCAACAAATTCTTTAAAAGTTTTCTGACCACAATGGAATTAAACTAGAAATCAATAATAAAAAAAGGTATCTAGAAAATTCCCAAGTAATTGGAAACCTAATAACACACTTCTAAACAATTCATCTTCAAAAAAATAAGTCAAAAGGGAAATTATAAAGTACTGTCGACAGAATAAAAAACTTATAAAGTACTGTCAACAGAATAGAAATGGATATATAATATATCAAAATTTGTAAGATTGAGGCAGTATTCAGAAATTAATTGTACTAAGTGCCTATGTTAGAATATAAGAAAAGTCTCAAATCCATAATCTCAGTTTCCATCTTAAAAACTGTAAAAAGAAGACCAAATGAAACCCAGAGAAAGCAGAAGAAAGGAAATTATAAAGAGTATAAATCAAGAAAACAAGATACAGAAACAATAGAAAAATAAATAAAAACTAAAATCAGATTTTTTGAGATCAATAAAATTAATACATCTTTAGCCAGACTGATCACAATAAAAAGAGAGAAGATGCAATTATTAATATCAAGAATTAGAGAGATGACATCACTACAGATCCTGCAGACACTGAGAGAATATTATGAACAACTTGATGCCAATAAATTTATTAATTTGGACAAAATAGACACATTTCTTGAAATTTCCAAACTATCAAAACTCATTCAAGAAGAACTAGATAACCTGAATAGGCGTGCATCTCTTAAAGAAATTAAATTTATAACTAACAAGTCTGCCCACAAAGAAAACTTCAAGCCCAGAAGTTCCCATTAGAGAATACTACCAAATGTTTAATGTTTTCTCCAGAAAACTGAAATTAAGTGAATATTTCTTTTTTTTTTTTTTTTTTGAGTTGGAGTCTCACTCTGTCACCCAGACTGGAGTACAGTGGCTGCTCCCAGCTACTGCAGCCTCGACCGGCTGGGCTCCAGCGATCCTTCTACCTCAGCCTTCCAAGTAGCCGGAATTACAGGCACACGCTACCATGCCCGGCTGATTTTTTGATTTATTGTAGAGATGAGGTCTCGCCAAGTTCCCCAGACAGGTCTAAAACCCACGGGCTCAGGCAATCCGCTCACCTCAGCCTCCCAAAGCGCGGGATTACAGGCTGAGCCACCGAGCCCGGCTTACGTGAATATTTCTAAATGCATTACCTTGATACCAAAACCAGAAAAAGAAAACTAGACCAAGATCCTTCATGAAGATAGATACAAAAATTCTTTAAACAAGTCAAATCCAACAATATATACGAAGGATAATACATTATGTCCTGACTTGTTGGCTTTATCCCAAGAATGCAAGGTTGCTTTAACTTTTAAACAGCAACCAATGGAATTTACAATATTAACAGACTGAAAAAGAAAACCACATAATCATCTCAAAAGACGTACTTAAATCATGTGACAAAATCTAACATCTATTCCTATATAAACCAGAAATAGAAGGGAACTTTTCAACTTGATAGAGAACGTCTATGAAAAATCTTCAGCTAACGTCATACTTAATGGTGAAAAACAGAATGCTTTCTCCCTAAGATCGGGAACTTGACAAGGAAATCCACACTCACCATGTTTATTCAGTATTTTACTGGAAGTTCTAGCCAAGCAAATATAAAATTGGAGAGGAAGAAGTAAAACTGCCTTCATTCACAGGACTGCATAAGCATCTATGTAGAAAACCTGATGGAATCTACAAAAAAGCTACCAGAACAAGCAAGGGAGTTATGGAGCTTCAGGGTATCTTATGAACAGCATACAAAAATCATTTTTAATAAACCATCAGGGATTGAAATTTAAGATAATACATCACTTATAAAGGCATCAACATGAAGAAATACTTAGGAATAAATCTGATGAAATAGGTGTAAGCCAGACACACTGAGAACTGTGAAACATTGCGGAGAGAAGTTAAAGATAACCTCATTAAGCGGAGAAATAGTTTGTGCTCATAGCTCAGAAGACTAAACCTTGTTAAAATGCTAATTCTCCCAAATTGATTTGTAGGTTCAATGCAATCCTACTCAGACTATCAGCAGGATTTCTTCTCTCTCTCTGGTAGAAATTGAGAAACTTATGCTAAAGTTCATATAGAAATGCAGAGAACTTGGAAGAGCCAGAATAACTTCGACAAGGAAGAACAGAGTTGAAGGACTTACACCATCTGACCCCAAGACTTATTGAGAAGCTGCAGTAGTCCAGACAGTGTAGTACTGGTGTAAAGATAAACAAATGGGCACCTGGAACAACATATGCTCATCTTATTTTTGACAGAAGTGTGGAGGAACTTCAGCAGAGAAAGGATCGTCTTTTCAACAAATGATGTTAGAAAAATTGAATATCCAAAGCAAAGCAAAACAAAACAATAAAACCCCTTTGGCCTGTACCTTACACTATTTAAAACGAATAATTCAAAATGCACCACAGTCCTAAATCTGAACCCTCAAAGCACGAAACTTCTAGGAGAAAATGTAGGAGAAAATCTTTCTGATTTGGGGTTAGGAAACATTTCTCAGATACAACACCAAATCTCTGATCCATGAAAGAAAACTTAGACCTCATCCTCGTCAACATTTGTGAAACTTCTCGTCTTTAAAGACCCTGTTAAGAGAATGTAAAGACAAGGCACAGACCAGAAGATATTTGCAATTCAGGGATCTAGTAGAAGGCTCATATCCAGAACGCATAAAGAATTCTTACAACGTACTAATAAGAATGCAGACAATCTACATTTTTAGATGGGTAAAATATATTTATTTTGAGTTGGAGTCTCACTCCGTCGCCCAGACTGGAGTGCAGTGGCACACTCACGGCCGCGACCTGCTGGGCTCAGGCAATCTTTCCGCCTCAGCCTTCCAAGTAGCTGGAACTACAGATGCACTACCATGCCCGGCTAATTTTTTGATTTATCGTAGAGATGAGGTCTCGCCAAGTTGCCCAGGCTGGTCTCAACCCCCTGGGCTCAGGCAGTCCTCTCACCTCAGCCTACCAGAGTGCTGGGATGACAGATTTGAGCCACCACACCCGGCCCTTAAATGGGTAAAATCTGTAAACAGACACATCCCCAAAGACAATCACTGGATACACGAGGTCAGAGCGGGAGAGGCAGGCCTGAGGCCACAGGTCTGGTGTGCCCAACAGAGTTGACTTCTGCCCCAGATCACAAGACGAGATCTGCCTTTGGTTTCGAAAGGACTCCTCCACTGGGCCAGGGACCGTGGGGGGCACAGGCAGTGGCTACAAGAGCCCAGAGGCTATGACCCAGGAGAGGAGGCCCCAGGGTGGATCCTGTGTGGTAGAGGTGGCAAGGTGACAAGGGCCAGGTGTGGATGTGTCCTGAAGGGAGAGGGGTGGCCAAGGGGCTTCCCTGACAGGGGAGCGGCAGGTGGGCCTGCAGGATCAGGGCTCTCGGCAGGTGCTGTGGGAGTGGGCACCGCCCGGGGACACCTGTGGTTCTGCCCCACAAGCAGCTGTGCCTCGGCTTGAGCAGGGAGAAGGCCAGGCCACCGGTGCAAATCTGGGGCGTTGCCGTCCGGTGGGAGACCGGACCCTCTGCAGGCTGGGGACGTGGGCACTTCCGGCTCCCACTGCCTGAGGCTCCCACAGACCCCAGAGCCTGCGCCCTCTCCCCTGCCCTGTCTCAGTCAGAGGACATCTCTGCAGAGAGGTCTCCTGCCCCATCTGCTGCGGCTCCCAGCCCTGCCAGCCTCCTCTGGCGCCCTTCACTCTGAGTCCATGGCACCCAGAGGCGCTTTGAGGGTCTGCCTCCCCCCCTGGGAGGAAAGCTCAGAGAGCCACACCTCTGCCCATCCGGCTCACAGCCACGGGGGTCTGAGGCTCAGAGCAGGCACAGAAACGGCTGCGTGGTCACCCCTGTCTTAGTCCCACTTTGCTGGAGAAAGCTGAGCTGCCACGGGCTGGGCTCAGGTTCCAGGGACTCTGAAGCCTCTTTCCCTTGAACTTCTGGAGAGGTGTGCAGAGCACCCACCAGATGCAGGACTGAGGGCTTCCTGCCCTTTCTGTTTCCCACCCCTGCTCCTGCCAGGTACCCAGGTGGCCTTCTCCCGCCTTCCTGTCTATTAGGGAGGGATTAGGACTCTGTCCAGCACAGGGGGCCTTCCGGAGTCTCTCTGTGACCTCTGAGGCGGAGACCTTGTGACCTGTGAGACAGGGACCCTGTGGCCTCTGAGATGGGAGCCCTGTGACCTCTGAGATCTGGGGTCCCTGTGACCCCTGAGATCTGGGGACTCTGTGACCTCTGAGACAGGGGGTCCCATGACCTTTGAGAGGGGGGATCTCGTGACCTCTGAGAAGGGGAACTTGTGACCTGTAAGGCGGGGACCCTGTGACCTCTGAGATGGGGGACCCTGTGACCTCTGATATCAGGAAGGCTGTGACCTCTGAGACAGGGGACCTTGTGAGCTCTGACATCGAGGGACATGTATTCTCCTTCCCTGCCCCCTCCGGCCTCCCTGCAGCTCCTCCCCCCCACCTCCCGGCCTGTGGGCCACTGAGACCCCCAGGCCACTTGATAAATGAAGCATTTACTCTCAGGGAGGTGACTGTTGAGAGGCCACCTCCCGCAGTTTGCAGGCAGGCAGACAGCCCCCACGTGGAGATGCGCTCAGCCCCAAGGCTGGCTGGACCCCAAGCCCTGCCAGGGCCCCAGGCTGAGGCGATGCCAGGCTCCCACAGATTCGCATGGTCTCCCGTCTCTCTGCACCCTGACGGCCCCCAAGGCCTTTGGACCCAACCCCAGATGAGAATAAGAACCCACTTAACATCTCTTCGATTTCATAAAAAGATTATGGTAAAGAAATTTAACTGGGATTGGATAATTTGATATTTTTATTTAAAAAAAGGAAAGCAAAAACCAACACCAGTCAACCTCAGAAGCATTTTCAAGGGTAGACTCCGTCATTCAGCTATGATTTTTCTGACTCTCCAGTTACTCTGCACTGCTCTGGGGACAGGGATAAGGGTTTCCCCGGGACTCTGGGATGAGGTCAGCACTGACTGGGACATCCTCAGGGTCCCAAAGGAGCAAACCCAGGCCCCGGGTGGGGTCCTGTCTGAGAGAGGAGAGGCAGAAGGGAGAGGATGCTACCAGCCCGTTTCCAACGAAAGTCACCTCATGTCTCAGTCTGTGCAAAGTGCAGCCCCGCTGATTTCCAGGAAGGTGGCCCCAAGCCAGAGGTGCCCATGGCGTGGAGGACAATTAAACTAGAAAGACTCAATCATCAGCGCAAGGACCAAGCCCTGGCCACGTAAGAAGGTGCAGCCCTGGGTCTAGTTCTGAGCTTCCTAGCAGCCAAGAAGAAAAGCCAAGAAGCCTCCAGCTTCTCTGGGAAAGACAGGCTTTGTCTGGCTCCAGATTATCTTCACAGAAGGGACACAGAAGAACAAACAGGAAGGAGTCCTCAACAGCAGCTCTTCATGGGACCAGTCCCCGGGGCACCGGTCTCGGCTGCACGGGGTCCGTGTGCTTGGCTGGCAGGGTTGTGGAGGAGGGGGCAAGCCCGAGCTCCCCCCAGCTGTCAATGAACTGCTGGTGAGAGGACTGGGAGGAGACAGGAAGCAGGAATGAGTGGGTGGGTGAGTCAGGCCTGGGCGCTGGCCAGGAGGTGGGCTCGGGTCGCTCTTGCTGGGAGGGAGAAGGCGGGGGGGGTGGAGGCCCCAGGGAGGGCTCTGTGGTCAGGAGTGCGGCTTTGCCCCGGAAGGCGGCTGCGACCACCGACTTGAGAGGGTGATGGGCGTGCTCCTGCCTGGGAGAGGCGCCTTGGGCCCTGGGGAGACCTCTCCCAGATGGGTGCTCACGGCCCTCTGGAAGTGGGTGGGGTGGGCTGGACATCCCTTTGAAACGGGGATGAGGGGATGGGAGCTGGGGCGAGGGGGATTTCCAAGGACCAGGGTCTTGGGCTCTCCTTCCCTGGAAGAGAGGGCACTAGACTGGGTGGTCTGCACGGCCCACAGGCTGGAAGAACTTGGGGTCAGGCAGATAAGGAAGGAAGGCAGGGAGAAAGGGTGAACGGATGGGTGGATGGATGGGCAGAAGGAGAGACGGGCGACAGAATGGGTACATGGAAGGAGAGATGGAGAGACTGATGACCAGGTGGGTGGATGAGAGAGGAGAGAGTGACTGGGTGAATGGATGGGTGGATGGGTAACGAATGGGTGGGCCAAGGGATAGAGGGTGAACGGGTGGGTGGGTGGATGATGAGTCAATGAGCGGGGGGGTGAAACATGGGCAGACGGATGGATGGGTGGGTGTGTGGCTGGGGAGACGAGTGGGTGACAAGCGGGTGGATGGATGGACGGATGGGGGGGTGGAGCCAAGGATGGATGGACGGCGGGGTGAGTGGGAGGAAGGTGGCATCTGACAGCAAAGGGACAACCCAGACAAGAGGAGTCTGGGGAGTCCAAGCAGCTTTTGGTGGGAGCTGAGAGGGGAGAGCCCCAGCCAGAGGGAGATGGTCTGGGGAGCCGCAGAGGGGTGGACAGGCCATAAGCTGACCAAGGCGGGGAGGAAGACCCTGAGAGAGGCTGAGGACGAGCTCTCCTGGGAGTCTCACAGCTCGGGGCAAAAGAGAAGCTCTTCCGGGAGGGAGTGAGCGCCGGCGAGCGGGCTTGCGGCCCGGGAGAACGTCCCTGCACAACCTGGCCCTCCAGGTGAGCGCTTTACCTTTGACAGGCTTGTCTTGGAACTCGGTGAGGAAGCGTGTGATGCGGTCCGAGGGGATGGCGAAGGAGATGCCCGCCGTGACCTTGAGCGTGTTGATGCCGATGACCTCGCCGTCCTGTGCAGGGAGATTGGAGCGGGCGTCACCTGGGCAAGCTGCGGCCCAGGGACAGACCTGGGCATCCGTGACTTTGCCCCAGAAGCTCCCGGGTCAGCGATCCTGCCTCCCCAAACCCTGGAAGAGGGGCCTCCCCTCCCCATCCGTGGGGCGTGCTGCCGGAGAAGTCTGCAGCTTGGAGCCCCTCCCCCCCGGCTGGCCAGTCTGCCCCTAAGAATCAGTGCCCGCTGGGCCAAGGACACCACGAGGCCACATTCAGAGGGGCTGAGAGAGAGGGAGGGAGGGCCAGGCGAGGCCCGTCGGGGACCTTGTCTATCCCTTCCTTCTGGAAGCAGGGCCAGGGCAGCTCCTTCGCTCCTCTGATCTCTTTGGGGACCTTCTCTGCCCCAACACAGGCGGATGTCACCGGGGCAGGGTCTGCCCCAGCCACTGGGACCTCACCCTCGGGCTGACTCTTGGAAGGAGCCCCTCCCCACAGCCTGGCATGCACCCCCTGGACCCGCCTCTCTGGTCACGGCAGGGTGAGGTACAGACAGCCTGGCCAGGGCCTGGCCAACTCCCCAGGGCACCCCCTGGGGTCTGGGGTAGAGCCCAGATGAAGGCTCCCTTTGTCCTTCCGATCCCTGGGGACTCATGAGACGGGAGGATCGGCCAAGCGGAAGGCCCAGTTGGTTGAATCCTGTGTCCACCCTCAGCCGTCTGTGCCCATCCCACGGCCTGGACGGCATAAGGCAGTCCCCTGGCCCGGGCTTCCTGGGCTCCAGCCTGGACTCCCCACGGGAGCTTTCTCAAAACTAGCGCGTGCCCTTGGCCCTGCTCAAAGTTTGGAGGCTTCTCAGAAGTGCAAGATGAAACGCCAGCAGCACACACGGCCCGAGGCCCGTCAGGACATGGGCCACCAGTCCCCTTGCCCCCAACCCTCATCTGATCTCCCCCCGTGAGCCTCCCCCCATGCTCATGCCGTGCCTTCCCCCTGGAATTTCTTCCTCCTGTACCCAAGCCTCCTCAGTCTCCACCGCCCGTGCTAGGCACCCCCGCCTCCAAGAAGGCCTCCCTGATCCCGCATCAGCCGTAAGGCTGCCCTGCCTGGGCGTCCCTCCACAGCCACCCCCTGCGGCTCACATCAGGCCTGGCTGGTCCACGTCCGCTCGCTGCCCCTCCATAAACAGGGGCTCCCTGAGGCCGGGACTGGGTCCCATTCTTCAGGGCCTGGGAGCTCTGAACGGAACTTCCCGGCTTATTCTGGAAAAGTCTCGCCTGAGGTGAAAACGAGTCTGACTTGGGACCCAGGACACACGGGGAGAGGGGACTGAGGGGGACGGAAGAGAGCAAGGCTGCTCCCACCTCGCACGCATGCCGGAGGGCCCCACTTCCGTGCCTCCCTGTCCCCGCTGCACCGACGGGCACGTGGCCCCGGCCTGGCGGCAGCTCGCAAATGATTCCTCATCCCTGACAGCCACCAGTGTGCCCGAGGGCCATGTCCCCGAGTCTTGGCGTGAAGATTCTGGGGCCATATTGTGGGTCCTGTCCTGCCTCAAGGCTCTGTCCCCCACCCCCATATGAGAAGAGCCCCAGAAAATCAGGCCCTGGGGGCACTTACCAGGTTCACCAGCGGTCCCCCGGAGTTCCCGTACTGCAAGAAGGGGAAACAGGGTGTTAGCTGCGCCCGAGCCCCACCTGAGGCTTCCTGAAGCTCCTTTTTTTTCAGTAACGGGGTCTTGCTGTGTTGTCCAGGCTGGAGTGCAGTGGCACAGTCCTAGCTCACTGTAGTCTCGAACTCCTGGGATTACAGGTGTGTGAGCCACCACATCCAGCCTTGCCGAAGCTCTTTTTTTTTTTTTGAGTTGGAGTCTCACTCTGTTGCCCAGACTGGAGTGCAGTGGCACGCTCCCGGCCATCACAGCCTCAACCTGCTGGGCTCCGGCGATCCTTCTGCCTCAGCCTTCCAAGTAGCTGGAACTATAGGTGCGCGCTACCACACCCGGCTAACTTTTTGATTTATTGTAGAAACAAGATCTCACCAAGTTGCCCAGGCAGGTCTCAAACCCGCGGACTCAAGCAATCCACTTGCCTCGGCCTCCCAAAGTGCTGGGATGACAGGCTGAGCCACTGAGCCCGGCTGCTGCTGAAGCTCTTTCTTCCAATCCTAACTCTAACCAACCCAAACTCTGTACTCTCACATGTACAGAGACACCTCAGCCGATTTCATACCCAATAGCATCAAAAGGCCTCAATGCTGTCCTCATTTCACAGAAGAAAGCTGAGGCCATGGAGGCCAATCAGACGGGCATGTGATGACCAGGGATGCTTGACTCATGCTCTCTGCACGAACCGCACGGATTGGCGTCTCCACCACTCACACCGGGGAGCGCTGTGTGGGTGAACACAGCATGTGGCACCATTTCTGGTCCTGCAAGCCTGGGGAGTCTCTACAGGGACTCAGATTCCAGCAGAGCGCCCGAGCCAAGGCAAAGCTAGAGGGATGTGTGCCGGGGTGTCTGGGCCAAGGGCTTTGGGCATGTAAAAGGTGCCCCCCCCACAATCACAATAACACGAAGAGCAAGGCGGACCAGGGTGTGTAACCTGGGCCATGCCTCTCTATCTCTGAAGGGCCGCCCACATCAGGATAGCAAACTCCTAGGGCACCTGGCACACTTGGGCAGAAGTCACAGGGTCAGAGCTCCACTCAGTAGAAAGAAAGAACTTTCTAGACAGGTGTGGTGGCTCACCCCTGTAACCCAGCAGGAGGCTGAGGCAGGAGAATTGCTTAAGGCCAGGATTTGAGACTGGCCTGGGCAACATAGTGAGACCCTCGTTCCCATACACACACACACAAAGTCAGCCAGGCATGGTGGTGGTGCCTGCCTGTAGGTCCAACGACTCGGGAGGCTGAGGCAGGAGGGTCACTTGAGCCCGAGTGCGAGGCTGCAGTGAGCTATGATCACGCCACTACACTCCAGCCTGGGAAACAGAGCGAGACCCTGATGGAGGGAGGGCGGAAGGGAGGGAGAAAGGGAGGGAGGGAAAGAGAGAGAGAAAGAGAGGAAGGAAGGAGGAAAAGAAAGGAGAGAAACCTTTCTAGTAAGCGGACGTGTCGAGCGATGGAATGGCTCGGCAGACGGGAAGAAGCCCCATCAAGAGACCACTCTGAGATCCCGAGCACCGATGGCGGCTGCCCCAGCCTCCTGCGCCCCCGCACTCACGTTGATGATGGCGTCCGTCTGGATGTAGTCCATGTCCGAGTCCTGGAGGCCCAGCTCCTTGCCGTCCCGCTGGGCCGTGCTGACGATGCCAGTGGTCACGGTGTTCTGCAGGGCAAAGGGGCTGCCGATGGCCACCACGAACTCTCCCGGCCGCAGGTCGGCCGACTGACCCAGCAGCAGCATGGGAAGCTTTTTCTGGGGGAGAGAAGGGGGGACACGGAGAGGGGGGCTCAGCCATCCGCCTTGTTGGGGGCTGGAGTAGATGCTGGCGGCGTGGCCCCCGGGAAGGCAGAAGCGGCTACGTAAAGCCGCTAGGAGCGCCAAGACCCTGGCACGTGGCCGGTGCAGATCTAGGCCAGGACAACCCCCGGTGGAGACCCAGGGCTGGAGGCCACAGAACAAAAGCTCAGCTGTGCCAGCCACCCAAGGCCTCTCCAGGGCAGGCCAAGAGGTTCACCATGGGCAGTGCACGGAGGGCCCAGCTAGGCGTGGCCTCTGAGGTCAGTGAGCCCCACAGTTTGGTGATCACACATCCCTCCAAAAATCTGCTAGAAGCTATGGACGCCATCGTGCCTTAATGAACCTCACACAAACTGGTGCCTTTGATGGAGAGCTATGCAGGCCCCAGAACCCAGCTAAGGACTCGGGAAGCCTTCGTTTTGGAATCTTTGATCCAGCTTAACCTGATCTCCCAATAAAGACACATGGGGAAACTGAGGCTCAGAGAGGTAAAGTGACTTAGCCAAGCTCCATCATTCCCCCCTGCACACGGAGACACTTGCACACTCCTCTCCTACTTTTGCATGGGGCCAGCAGAGTCCGTCTGTCGCGGCCCTCTCTGAGGCTTCCTGAGGGTCTGTGGACGGCCAGGTCACACGGGCCTCCCTACGATGCCGACCCCCTGGACAGGCCATTCCACGTGGCACTGCTTTTTCTCATCATCTCAGCCTTTCGCCTTTTGTTTATGCCACCGTATCAAACAAGGAAGTTTGCTTAAGGGGCGTTTTTCATAATGGATATCAGTAGAAGAAGAAAGGTAAGAGCCTATACATGGGTGTATGTCAATTAATACATCTATAAAGGGCCCCTGCGGGGGGGAGCCCTGGGGTAGGGGGTCTCGGGCCTCAATGCTCTATTCTCTGTGTCGCTGGGGCCCGTGAAGCTTCAGTCGGCGACACAGAGGGTCACAGGGGAGGAGCCGGGCCCACACCCTGGGAGGTGGGACCCAGAGAGGGACATTTCCAGCTGTGACAGGCCACGAGTGAGGGGTGATGATGTCGAGAGTGATGTCTAACACCCCCGGAGGCAGTGAGCTGGGCAGGGGCTAGCACAGCCCCCCTGTGACCCAGCTTAACCTGAGCCCCCAGGAGAGACACATGGGGAAACTGAGGCCTGGAGAGGTGGAGAGACTTAGCCGAGCTCCAGACAGGCCGAAGGTCAGCAGCCTTTTCCACAGCTCAGTCTGATGCCGTGAGGAGGCCTGAAGCTAGAAGGGAGGTTTCCGCTGTGAGAACACAGCAGGAGAGGCAGGCCAGCCTGCAGGACACCTGGGTCTGACGACTCGGCCAGCGGCTGTTGGCCGCAGGTGGCTGGTGGGAATTCTGCTCTGCCCTGCCTGGGCCCCCACTCGGCTGGTCCTGCCAGCATCCTGCCTCAGTGCCTGGGAGGGGACAGACAGACCTGGCATCTAGAGGGACTCTTCTCCCTCACTGGAGTCCTTGAGTGGGGGTCGCACATGGTGGCCCAAGGTCCCAGGACCAGATCCGGCCCGGTCAACCTGTGAGTCAAGGTTGCTGGACCCCGGCCTCGCCGTGTATGCCGGTGCGGGCCGCTTTCTGGCTGCCACATAGAGTTGTGTGGCTATGGCAGAGACCATGTGCCCGCAAAGACTAAAGTTTCTGCTACCAGGTACTTTTTGGAAAATGTGCTGACTTCTGCTTCTGAGTGCACCCCCATGCCTCCAACCTTTGCTTCCTTGTCTTTATTTTGTTTTATTGTGTTATTTATTTATTTACTTGAGACAGGGTCTTGCTCTGTTGTCCAGGCTGGACTGCCATGGCATGATCATAGCTCACTGCAGCCTAGAACTCCCAGGCTCAAGAAATCCTTCCACCTCAGCCTCCCAAGTCGCTAGGATTATAGGCGTGCACCACCACACCTGGCTATTTTTAAAATTCCTTTTGTAGAGATGAGGAGGGAGGGTCTCACTATATTGCACAGGCTGGTCTTGAACTCCTGGCCTTAAGCCATCCTCCCACTTCAGCCTCCCAAAGTCCTGGGATTACAGGCATGAACCACTGCACCCGGCTTCCCTCGTCTTTAAAATGGAGGTGATGCCCCCAGGCCCAAGAGCAACCGCAAAAGGGCAAAGAAGAGGGGAAGGGTCCACATTAGGCCAACCATCTGACACCAAAAAACCTCCTCCCTTGTTGGGGAAGAGGAAACCCGGCAGAAGGCTTTTCATCATGAATGCCACAGACAGGCATTCAGAGAGGATGCTGGACTCGAACCCCACTGAGTCAGACTTGCCAGCCCCCAGGGACATTCCGACTCCAGGCTCCACCTGAGACATGAGACTCAGGGACCTCAGGGCGTGAGAGACGTGGGTAACCCCACTGCAGCCCTCCTGCACCCACATCACTGTGACACTGGAGGCTGGCCAGGGTGGCTCACGCCTGTAATCCCAGGGCTTTGGGAGGCCGAGGTAGGGGGATCACTTGGAGCCAGGAGTTCGAGGCTGCAAAGATTGATGATTACACCACTGCACTGCAGCCTGGGTGACAGAGCAAGACCCCGTCTCTGATAACACAGATAAATAAAATAACTATGACACTGGTTGGGACGCCTGGAGGGAGGCCTGGGTCTGCGGTGAGTGGGTGATCCTGCCCCGGTTAGCCATGACCTTGGGCAAGTTACCTGACGTCCCGAGCCTCAGTTTCCCCATCGGGAGTTCCAGGATAATGAGGGCCCCTTCTTCTCAGGCCTGTGGTGAGGATGAGGCCAGTATGCACAGGCCAGTGCCCGGCCCAGAGCAGGCCTTCCAGAAACAGCCAGTGGTAGTGACGGGAGGGTTACTTAGGCCCTGGTGTGGGATTGTGTGGTCAGCTAGCAGGAGGCTCAGATGTGAGGGGAAAGATGGGGTGCCCATCTCAAGTCCTCCCCACCCAACGCTGTCACCCTGTGGGCCCGGGTGGGACAATGCAAAAGCCCTGCGGGGGAGTGACAAGGACCACAGCCCTCCCTCCTGTGGCCACATGCTTCCTGGCTCTGCTTGGCGCCTGGCAACTCAAGGCACGCAGGGCAGGGAGTCCAGAGAGCCGGGCTCCAGGTCTGAGCTGACCAGTGACCATGGGTCAGCCGCCTGTTTTCCCTGGGCTTCGGTTCCGCCCACTATCTGGTGGGAGGTGAGGCTGGCTGGTCTCTAGGTCTGGAGTCTGGGAAGGGTCTCCCGGGCCCAGCCCGCTCCCCATCCTGTCCCACCCACTCACTTTGGGGTGGATCTTGATGGTGGCGATGTCGGACTTCTTGTCGATGTCCTTGATGGTGGCCTCGTAGGAGTCCCCGTTCTGCAGCTGCACCTTGAGCTGCTGCCGACCGGAGACGGCGTTGGTGCTGGACACCACGTGGGCGTTGGTGACGATCAAGCCAGCCTCGGACATGATGAAGCCCGACCCGCTGGACAGTGGCACGTTGCGGCCAAACAGAGGGTGTCTGCAGCCGGAGTACAGGTGGCGGTTAGCATGGGGACTTGGACACGGGGGAGTCAGGCACCACAGGGGCCGGTCAGCAAGGGGGAGAACCCGCAAGGGAGTGACAGGACACAGGCCTGGGGCCCCTGAGTCCCCAGTTCAAATCCCGGCTCTGCCAGTCACCAGCTATGGCCTGGCCGCGTCACCCGAGCCAGGCCCTGTTGGCTACAAAGAGGTGATAACCATCTCTGACTCGCAACTTGACGAGACAAGACCAGCAAGACTGGCAGCAGGTGCTCGTCACCCTGGCTGCAGAGGGCTGGTGCCCGACAGACCAGGATGTTAATCTCAAGGCCAGGCCCCTCTATGACCTGCCTAGCCCGGGGCAGGTCGTTTCAGCTCTCTGAGCCTCAATCTCACCACCCAGGACATAGGATAACAACACCTCCACGAGGTGGTGGTGTCTGGTCTCAAAAGTGCCGCTCAGGCTGGGCGGTGGCTCAGCCTGTCATCCCAGCACATTGGGAGGCCGAGGTGAGTGGACTGTCTGAGCCTGCGGGTTCGAGACCAGTCCAGGCAACTTGGTGAGAACTCATCTCTACAATAAATTTTTTAAAATGAGCCAGGTGCAGGAGTGCGCACCTGTAGTTCCGACTACTTGGAAGGTTGAGGTGGAAGGATCGCCAGAGTCCAGCAGGTCGATGCTGGGGTGGCCGTGAGCGTGCCACTGCACTCCAGCCTGGGCAACGCAGTGAGATGCCAACTCAAAAAAAAGTGCCTCTCAACAAACAGGACTACCGCCCCCATGAGAGACACGCACGGCTGCACACCCAGCATCTACTGGGCCTACAGCCGCCAGTGCCTGGGAATGGCGGTTCCCCCAAGGCCAAGGGCACATCCCTGACTCCACAGAGGCAGTAAATGCTGGGGGTGGGGACGTAGGTGACAGCCTTGTTCCCAACTCCCTACTGCCTGCCCAATCCCCTCACCCAGGCCAGCCGCCTGAAGGCCCATCTGGGTCTATGCTGGTGGCGGGATCTGCGTGGCGAATTTCACACCCGGCGGATGCAGGGGCGGGGCACCAGACATCTCCGGGGCCCAGATGACCCCAGCCTCAGCCACTGTCTCCACAACATGGGCCCACACGGGTCAGGCAGCTGGCTGGGGCCTGCTGCTGGTGTCTGCAGACGGGTGGCAGTCCCTGTCTCACTAGAGCCCTGTGAGTATGACCTGCAGCCCTGCTCCAGGGCTGGGGGAGGTGGAACCAGGCCGCAGCTTGGGACCAGCTCTGGCATGGGGCATCTCGGGACCCCAGCACGGGGACCGGCACAGAGCGGGCACCGCTCCCTGAGGCTGCTTGGCAGAGACAAGCAGGGAAAGTGGGCCCTTCGGGGACCTGTGACCAGGCACGAGAGACAAAGCACAAAGAGGTGGGACGGCCAGCACATCAGGGAAGGGACCATCTCTGCAAGGTCCAGGAGCATTCCCTTGGCCTGCAGGACCAGGACAAGAGCCCGTGCCACTGAGCACACCCTCTGAGCCAGGGTGGAGGCCATTTCCTGCTCGTGGCCACCCTACAAGGCCGGCGTAGGTCGAGAGGGGTCCCTCAAAAAGAGGGACTTAAGTCCAAGTTCTGACCTCTCACACCTGTGAACGTGACCTTATCTGAAGTTAAGGTGAGATCAGTCTGGAGTAGGATGGCCCCATAGCCAGTGACAGGTGTCCTCACGAGACACACAGGACAGGACTATCGTGGACAGGATGTCGTATCTACAAGCTGAGGAACACCAAGGGCTGCCGGAAACCACCAGAAGCCGGGAGGGACCCTGGGGCAGATTCTCCCTCGCGTCCTTGGAAGGAAACTGCCTGCCGATACCCTGACTTCCAGCTTCCAGACCCGTAAAACAGCACATTTCCGGGGTATGAAGCCAGCCAGTGTGCGGGGCTTTGCTACAGCAGCCCAGGATATGAACGCAGCTCATGACTCTCGGGTCTCCACGTTACGGTGGCCCAGGGATGCCGCGTTCCTGGCCCGGGCCAGGCAGGAGGGAAAAGGGCAGAGCAGGAGTTTGCACCAGGCAGCCTGGGTGTCTGGTCACTCGGTCACCCACAGGTGGCCTCGGCATCTGTCCGCTCACGTCCGTGGCCTGTTTTCTACACAGCTCGTGTCCCAGAGTGGGAGCCTCTGGAAGCCCAGGGGTGCCAGGCACAGCCTGGTCCATGGAGGGGCTGCAGAAAATGCCCAAGGCCGTCCGGAGGCCTCCACACCCGCACCCAGGCCCCGGGTCAGGGGCCAGCAGGAGGTTCTGTGCCTGATGACCATCTCTTGTCTGCCCCAGCCTCACCCACCCACTCAGGGCATCAGCCGCAGAGGTCTCCCGAGCCAGCCGCGGCCAGTAATTAGCCGGTTCGGACCCTGGGGCCTGGGGCCTTCCAGGAAGATGCTGCATCCGTCCCCGCCACCCAGAGGACCAGCAATGTGCCACTTAGCACACCCGGGTATAATTTCCTCAATGATACGTCTCGGGGTCTGGAGCCTGAGAGGAGGGCAGCGAGGAGTCACCTGCTGCCGGGGGATGGGCCCAGCTCTGGGGTCAGAGAGACCCAGGTCAAACCCAGCTCAGGGCCTGGAGCGGTGGCCGCTGCCCGTCATCTCAGTGCTTTCGGAGGCCAGGGCAAGAGGACCCCTGGAGGCCAGGAGTTTGAGACCAGCCAGGGCAATGCAGCAGGGCCCCGTCTCTACAAAAAACAGAAAAGTGGCTTGGGATGGTGGCATATACCTGCAGCCCCAGCTATTCAGGAGGCCGAGGCAGGAGGATTGCTTGGGAGTCTGAGGATGCCGTGAGCTGTGACTGCGCCCCTGCACTCCAGCCTGAGTGACAGCGAAATCCCGTCTCTCAAACCAACCAACCCACCAGCAAAACAAAACAGCTCTGCACTTAGCAGCCTTGTGAGCCCTGCAGGTTTTGAAGGCCCCTGCCCCCACATCCAGAAAGCAGGGAAAATAAAGCCCCCTGCTGGGGTTCACGGCAAGAAAAAGTGAAGCGTGCCAAAGAACGGAAAAGGCCTCGGACAGTGCGATGTCCTTCAGCGAGCGGGTTGGACAGTGCCTGCCCGGGGCCTGTGGGTCCGCAGGGTGAAATGCTAGGAGTGCTCCCCCGCCACCCCCTCCAGGGGCTGTTTGAGGACAGGCTGTTTGAGAAAACGCTCACTTGGCCAGGGCAGTACTCAAGAAGTCCCTTTGAGTCCAGGAGTTCAAGACCAGCCGGGCAACATAGCGCGGCCACGACACCACAAAAATACACTTTTAAGCAAAACAACAAAAAAGAACATCAGCTAAGCAGCCGACAGCGCGGGAGTTCACGGGATGTGGCTTCCCCGGTCACTCCCTCACCCCGGTCGGTGAGCACAGACCCTGCCCCAGGAGGCCCAGAGAGGGGCGGGGCAGTGACGCCCAGTGGCAGGGGCTGGCACGGGGCAGAGAGAGCCCAGGGAGCGGGGAGCCTGTGTCAGAGAAGGAGCCCTGCCCGGCGCTCCCATGACCCTCTGGTCCTCTGGCTCGGTCCAACAAAAGGACACCAGAGCCTCTGTGTCACTAGGAGGCTGGGGACCTCAGGGAACACGCGGGCCAACACACACATCCCGGAGTCCTGGCCGGAGGCCCTGCGAGACTGCTCGTTGCCAGCTGCTGCCAGTCCGGGCTGGGCGCCCTCGGATCCCTATCGGTACAAGACGGGCTGGGGCCGGCGCCCTCTGCACCCAGGGCCAAAGTGTTAAGAAAGGCGAGTGGAGTCGGGCTCGGTGGCTCAGCCTGTAATCCCACACTTTGGGAGGCTGAGGTGAGTGGATTGCCTGAGCCTGCGGGTTCGAGACCCGCCTGGGCAACTTGGTGAGACCTCATCTCGACAATAAATCAAAATGAGCCGGGCGTGGTAGCACATGCCTGTAGTTCCAGCTCCTCGGAAGGCTGAGGCGGAAGGATCGCCGGAGCCCAGTAGGTCGAGGCTGCGGTGGCCGGGAGCGGCCACTGCCCTCCAGTCTGGGCAACAGAGTGAGACTCCGACTCAAAAAAAAAAAAAAAAAAAGAAAGGCGAGTGGGAAGAGAAGCCCTGGACTTGGAAGCCATCCTGGGGGCTGCGAGTCAATTTGGGAAGAGATCCCGGGACTCCGTGGGAGCCCCCGGACCCAGTTTGCTGAGCGGCTCGCTCGGGGGACAGGGCTTCCCAGAACCAGCCGGGATGGCCTGGGACCCCGGGGGGCGGGCCCCGGAGGGAAAAGAAAGAGGCTGCACCCCTGCATCTGCAGGGAGTGGTCGGGCTGGGAAGGTGAGGCCACACTGCGCCTGCCTTCCCCTAGGGGCCGGGACAGCCACCTCCCGACCGGTCGAGTCCTTCACTCACTCACTCATTCCTTCCTTCCCGCTGACCCAGCCGTTTATTGATGGCTCCTCCATCCTCCATCCCCTCATTCATTCCTTCCTTCACCCATCCACTGGTTCATTCATTCGTGGGTCCATCCCCTCATTCATTCACCTTCTCATTCGTTCATTAATTCGTTCCCTCATTCATTCCTTTCTTTACTCACCCGTTCTCTCGCCCCGTCCCTCACTCCCCCGGCCACAGTGGCCTGTGCCTGACACCTCGGTGTGAGCCAGGCTGCTGCCCTGGCATCCAGTGGGCTAGCTCCTTGGTGACTGCTCCAGGCTCAGCCTGTGAGGGCTCCTGGGCCCCAGTCCCTTTGCTGCTCACAACCCGTGCCCCCTGGCTCTGCGCACTGCAAGTGGCACAGGACACCTCCCGGTTTTTTGTTTGTTTGTTTGTTTTTTTGAGTCGGAGTCTTACACCATCACCCAGGCAGGGGCACACTCACAGCCACCCTGGAGTCCACCTGCTGGGCTCCGGCAATCCTTCCGCCTCAGCCTTCCGAGTAGCTGGAACTACAGGTGCGGGCTACCATACCCAGCTAATTTTTCACTTATTGTAGAGATGAAGTCTCGCCAAGTTGCCCCGGCTGGTCTCGAACCGTGGGTTCAGGTCATCCACTCGCCTCGGCCTCCCAAAGTCCTGGATGACAAGCAGAGCCTCCGGTTTGGGTCTTTTTTTTGAGTCGGAGTCTCACTCCGTTGCCCAGGCTGGAGTGCAGGGGCACACTCACAGCCACCCCAGCATTGACTTGCTGGGCTCTGGCGATCCTTCTGCCTGAGCTTTCCAAGTAGCCGTAACTACAGGTCTGTGCGACCATGCCCGGCTAATTTTTATTTTATTGTAGAGACAAGGTCTCGCCAAGTTGCCCATGTTGGTCTCAAACCGCGGGCTCAGGCCACCCCCTCGCCTCAGCCTCCCAAAGTGACGGATGACAGGCTGAGCCACCGAGCCCGGCCTCCGGTTTGGGTCTTTCTGTCCGCATTGACCACACGCCCCCCCAGAAGACAAGCAGGACTCGGACTCGAGTGGCGACCCACAGGGAGTCACAGCTGCCTCGCGCGCGCCTGCTTGGCGCCCAGAGCCCCTTCGCAGTTGCCCAGATGGAGGTCAAGGCCAGCCCGTCCTTCCCGGAAGCACATGGCAGCCAGGGGGTGTGAGTGAGGACGGCCTTCCCGGGCCGCTCTGGTTTCGACGCCCGGGCTGCTGGGACCGAGTCTGGTTTGGGCCCCGAGACAGAGCCGGGGGCCCGGGAGGCCGTGAAGGGTCAAGGGGGCCGCTCACCTCAGGAAAAGCTCGATGTGGACCACGGCCGGCGCGATCTTCTCCACCACGTCGGCAATGAAGTTGAACTTGTACCGTGGGCTGCTCAGCTGGCGGAGACCTGCGCTGGCGGGAAGCACCAGGTGCGTCAGGGAGACCGACATGGCGGCTCCCAGGGTCCCGACCCGTGGAGGGAGAGGAGGCTCCTCTCCTGGGCTCAGCTTCCTCAGACCACCTCCCGGCAGCCTGCCAGGCCAGCCAGAGGCACAGAGAGGGTGGAACAGTTGCCCTGGGCCCACAGGAGGGGCTGGATCTGGAGCTGCTCCCCCGGGCCCTGTTCTCTTGTATCACAGCAATGCCCTTGCAGGAGAGAACCGTCCCCACTCCTGCAGGCTCCAGCCGGTCCCTCCAGGCATGGGCTCGTACAGTGCCCAGACAAGGAGGACACCCCCGCCAATTTGTCCCTTCTGAGCTGCTCCAGCCTGGCTGCCGTGCGGCCCCTCCTGGGTCCACAGGGTCTTGCATCTCTGTCTGAATTGGTCACACCCCAGTCCCACTTGTCAGGTCGTTCACAGACTTCCCCAGAACCTTCTTGGGCTCGAACTTCTGCTGGCGTCCGCAGTGGGACCCTAGGCCTGAGGCATGTGGGGGGCACGAGGCCCCCAGCTGTGCTCTCCCGAATTCCCCACCATCTGGAGCCCACCCACCAGGCTCCACGGCGCACGGCTGTTCTCTGGCTCTGCAGCCTCAGGCAAATCACTTGCCCTCTCTGGGCCTAGACTCCTCATCTGAAGAAATGAGACTGGAGACGCCCCCGCCCAGGCCGGTGGGAACTGGGAGTGAAAGTGACCGCGAAGGTGAGGCAAACGGTAAGGCTCCCTGGCCGGGGAGACCGCCACCCATCCCCCCATGGGAGCAAGGCGGGCTCGGCCCGGGAAGTCCAGGCCGCCACGGGTGTCTCTTGCTCTCTGGGGGGCGGCTGAGCGTCGGGATCTGGCCCAGACGGTCCCAAGGGCTGGGGCTCACACGCCGAGTGCCGCCACGGCAGCGGGCGGGAGCCATGGCCCCTGCTCCGTGCCCACTTGTGGCGAGTGCAGTCTCCACGCGCTACCCCGTCCGTGTCCCCGACTCTCTGGGGGCAGCTGGGCAGAGATCTTTGCCTCCGTTTTAAAGATGGGGAAACTGAGGCTCAGTGACACGAATCCCCTTGCTTGAGGACGCGGGGTGAGCCGGAGGAGACCAAGGATTTGAACGCAGGCCACAGGCTTCTTTCCCTAGGTGCTCCCACGGCCACCCTGTGCCCCCCAGGCCTCGACGAGCCCGTAAGCCTGAGCCAGGACCCAGGGCTGGTTCGGGCTCTGGTGTTTCAAGGAGAGGCCGCCCCTCCCCTGGCCCCGTGACAGCGGCCACGCCGGCCCTCGCCCACTGTGGTTGGCCCGAATAAAGGCCGCCTGTCGGGGGTGACCAGAGCCTGGCTGGGAGGGCCCGGTCGCTCCTGGATGCTATGGGCCAGAGCCCCGGAGCAAACCCTGGTGCCAGGGTGGGGTCCCAGGTCAGAGGTCACACAGACCAGCTCCCGGGGGTGGGGAGTGCTGTGCCCCGGGCTCTCTGTGCCTATGTTTATTTCCAATGGGATGGCTAACCCTTCCCGACACTGCGCGGGCCGGGTGGCGAGGGCCCCCGGCCACAAGGGCGGCCTCCCAGCCCTGGGAACTTGGGGTCTCTTCCAACCCCCCAAGCAGAGAAGGAAGCAGCCACAAAGCCCGCGGCCTGAGGCTCAGATCTCCCACGGAGGTCCCAAACCGACATCCTTGTGACCCAGGGGCCTGGCCCCTCCAGCCGGGAAGGACTCGGGCTCTGCTGCTCCCCAGACAAGCCAGGGCCTGAGGTTTGTGCCCACATGCTGTGCTGGGGAGATGAAATTGTGCACAGGCAGCCCTGGGTCAGGCGGGTGTCGCCTCACCCTACCCTGTGACCTGGGGGCACCGACCCCCGAGGCTCAGCTCTTCACCCTCTCCCCTTGCTGCCCCTACGCCTGCGTGCCCCTGCCTTCCTTCTCTCCACCAAGATGCTCTGGCTGATCCCAGGCTCTGCCTCCTCCAGGCAGCCCTCCAGTAGCCCTCTCCAGGTCTGAAGGAATCTGTTCCCACTCAGGGCTCTCAGAGTCAACCCGCGTGTGCCAGGGCCTTCCAGGAGCCTGCCCAGAGACTCAGCAGCCAGCTGGGGCTGAGGGACAGGTGAGTGGCCAGCCCAGGACAGCCCAGCACGACCAGAGACAGGCCAGATGGAAGCCCAGGGGTGAGGCAGGGGTGTCCTGAGGTGCCCGACGCAGGCCTAGTAGAGCCTACCGGGCAGAAAACAGCACGAGAAGCCCACAGGCTGACCCGAGTCACGCTTGGCAGATGGGGGACCTGGCCCGGTGTCACGAGGAGGGAGGGACAATGACTAAAAAAGGCTTTGTCTTCATCCTGGATCTCCGAGAACCAACCTCGGGGCCAGACGCTCTCCCGGCCCTTCCTGTCCACCCCCGGTGACCCGGCAGGGGTCCCACTGTGGTGGGCCGCAGGGCTGGGGCGGCAGGGGAGCCCTGGAGCCCCCGGGCTGCTCAGGCCCCCAGCTCTGGAGACAGGGAGACGCTGCAGCCCCCACAGGAAGGGTCTCTCTCCCCCACGTGGTCTCCACAGGGTCCCTCGAAACTGCTTTTTCAAGGGATGATCCGAAAAACCCTCTGAAAGATATCTGTGAGTGAAAGCCTGGCGGGAAACACATCAAAGCACCACCAGACATGGCTACCTGGGGCGGGAGTCAGGTGATAGAGTGACTTTCGTCTTTTCTCGAGAACTTTCCAAGTTTTCGACCACAGGCAAGTTACGGACAAATAGAGCAGAAAAACACACAGCAGGGATGTTCGGCAGGGCCTGAGGTGAAGGGGCCAGGCT